CAGCAGGTCCTGGACGCTTTTGCTTGAAGCCATTTCAAGTTGGATCTATGAATTGAGATGGAAATTGTGTATTGAAACAGTTATTTCCTGACCGATTCAATGTGTCTTTCAGTCAGCCGCGGATGCGAGCGAAGGGTCGACGTCTCATTTTTAGGCAAAATGGACAACTACGATTTTTGTGGACGAAATGACCTCCCTCCACTTGGGAATAAAAAGGAGAATTCATGAAGAAATGTTGCAGTTAAATGTGTCACCAGACCTCCCGTGGGCCGGTGATTTGCTTGACTCTTGCCTGCCCACGACTCACACGTGATCGACTTCCTCCAAACTGCATGCATACCACCAACATCCTCTGGGGTTGAAGAGTTTTCACCCGACTAGGCCGCCCTATTGAGGACGCATCGCAAGGGGCCGGTTGACCTGGCATTTCGGTTTTTACTGTAGACTCACGAAACTCGGTAACAATGCTCATTTCCTTTCTCAAACAATCATAGAGACAGTTGTCCAGATGATAACCTTTAAGGGGTCGATTCTCTTTTCTCAAAGTGAAACAAACTTGAGTTCAATGCTGATGTTGCTGCGGCTGCGGCTGCTTCTGATGCTGATGATGATGATGATGATTACAATGACGACAAGCTCAGAGTTACAAGCACACTCCAGAGCGAACTTTGGGCGGGAGTTCGGAAGGATGTCGGAAACGTGCTTGTCGATGGGGGTCAGGCCGAGTGGAGAAGACAGATCGAGGGAGGCAATTTGAGAGTAGCACGGCAGTCTTGGAAGGCTTAGCGCCGTCTGGTTGTCGCTTTTACGAAGTCTCGCCTCTGCGGCATCATCGTTAAATGCATCAAAATGCGAGTGTTATGCTTGAAAACGCAGGACGGTGACGGATTTTGAGTACCAAAGATGACCACCTATCAGAAGACACTTAACAAAGTTAAAGAGTGTCAATACAGAAGGTAAAGTCTAGTCTTTCAAAACAATGAGAAGCATTAATAGGCTTTATTCGTCTGGACGGCAAAAGTGTGACACCTTTCAATGAACTGAAATAAGATTTAAACAATAGTTGTTGGTGAAAAGACTATTTTGAAGAATTAATCAAGATTGTGGTATCAGTTTCTACTGCTTCAGGTGTGAACATCTTTCTGTCATTTATTTAACATTTTTCAATACTTAAAAATAAAATATTTTGTTCAGACGACCAATACAAGTTATAGCAAAGGGCGAGATCGCTTTTAAAGCGAACAGTCAGCTGCCAGTCGTAGATTTTTTTAAGTGTCAAACCAGAAATATGTTAGTTAGTAAGACCATCATTTTGTGGCCTTTGCTGTGGTATAAAAATGGAAGTGGTCTTATCTCATTTTCACAACTTATTCATGCAGTCAGGTTGGCTTGAATGAAAGCACCTTAACATGGTTTTTTCCCAAAGTTTCCATTCCGCAAGTTAACAGTTTGAGGCTGGGACTTAGGATAATTACTAGAGCAAAGGACTTTGAGTGATTTGCGTTAAATTAGATAACCTATGAAAGAGGGCCAAATTGCGAAAGATAGATCAGAGCACATAAAGAAATATTTCAATTTTCATCAAGACTGATCAAAAAAAATATTAAGTCTGATAGTGACAGGAATAATTTACCCATTCCGCGACTTGTGTGTAATACATATTGCCAATTAAGACAATGTTTTAAGAATAGCGAGCTACTCTTAAATTATTGGTGAGTATAAAATAAGAAACAGTCGCATTCTCATTTAATCAGGATAATTAAAAGCTAGCGATCATTTTCGGTATTCAACCCGAAAATGTTTGTCTGTATCATATTAGTTCAGCTTTTTTTACCTGTCAAATTTCACATTCATTATATACTTTAATCACATATTCCATCTTTGTGGCCATACGAAATGTCATACCATCATAATATTCGTATCTTCTGTACTTATTCGGTTAGCAAACTATTTATTTGGTATATAGTGATTGTTAAAATCATCCTTATACGGTAAATAAAGTAAATCGTCAAGATCTTGCCAATTCGTAATCTCAAACTATAAATCCATAGCAAAATAATGTATTTAACAGAGCTTTTTATGCAGCTCAAATGTTTATCTGAGGTTAATCAAAATTCACAATCATACTCACTTGGCATAACGATTTCTTATCCTTGTCAGCCACGGTTTTATTAGCATCCAAGCGGGATTCGAACCCAAGTCTTGATTACCATGTCAACGATTGCTATTCCATCACACGGCCACGGGTGCTAATACGACACAGGATATGCACGACCTTTAAAGCAAGCCAGGTCTCTTCCATTTCCTGTTTATACTGGAATTGAGGATTACAGACGATGTAGTTACTTATT